ACTTCCATAATTAATAACCTGTTACCTAGTAATAAGAATTATAGAGATTCTCTTTATATCTGGAGCAGCTGCCGACATAGCTTTTATTTTGTGTGGGAGTCATTAGTGGTTAGCTTCTGTGTGGATTCACTGCAGAGCAGGGGTGATCTTTCAGCTGTCAGCACGTCCCATCTAGATGCCTTCAAGGGTGAATGATTCCTGGGTTGGGGCAAATCTAGTAATCTAATGATAGACTGCCCACTCAGCCAGGGTTTGCTGCTTTTACCTTCTCAGGCCGTGGCCTTACATTTTTATGAGTGAGAGAGCCGGGCTTATAGAGAGAATTAATTTTTAAAAGAGCTCTGTGATATTTTAGAATTAGGAAGGAAGGAACTCCTGCTTTGATGATGTGAAAAAATTTGCCCAGACAACCTTAATTGCTTAATATGTGATCAGTAATGTTACTGGCCATATGTTTCTGGATTTTTGAACATTCAGGTAGAATTCTTAATCATGTGGTTATGAAAACAACCAGTTTCTATAAGTGAAAATGAGCATGCTTATTAATGCAATTGCCTATTGCATTCAGTCACATTTATAACTCCCAAGGAGACTGATTGTTTTGCATGATTTAGTGTTTACAAAATTACAGTCGCTCGGCAAAGCTTACTGTATTTGAAGCATATGTGGTCCTTTTGCAGGTAATAAAATGGAAAATCCAATTTGCAATTGCAGAATAAGCCTCTGAATGATATATGATCTTCATAGTAGCATCGGTCAGAGGGTCATCGCTAATCACGGCGCTGGCTTGCTTCCCCTGTGGCCGGGCCATCCCGCTGAAGAGTGCGCAGAGGGAATCTCTGTCTGGGAGGCAGCCAGCGTGGCTGTAGGGGCACCACTTTCTAGCTTATTAGATCCTCTTTGTCACAGTGCTTAATCCTCCTGCCTGATCCTTGTTAGAACAGCACCGGAGCGCTGCTCAGGCTTCTAATAAAGGAGATGGGTGAGGGCTCCTAACTAGAGGCACTGAAGCGTGCAGCAGTTCTGGCGATTGCAGCCCGACTGACGGTGGGGTGAGATGCTTCCTGCATGTTATTACTTGAAAGGGAACTTACCTCTGACAGCTGACAGATGAGCTTTGCTGAGGCAAGGGTAACTTGTTGCTAGGCCAATATGAGACGGGTGTCATCTTTTCACACAGTATAATGGCCTAGCTTTACTCTAATTATATTAACCCTCTTCTGAAAAGGCTGCATTCCAGGCTGGTGCTGAGTGAGGCAGGAAAGCCAGAGACAAATAGCTGGCTGGAGGATTACGGCTGCACAGAAGCAGGTATTGTGTTCTCCACCAGTGACATTAAGTTGAAAAACAAAATAAGCATACCCTATTACAGCAAGCCAGTGATAACTCTGAAGAGGCAGCGCTTGGTTTGGCTTGCACGGTTTCCATCTCTGTCATCTGGAATAGTCGCCTGCTTCAATGTTTGCTATGGACTTTAAACACGGTTTTCATTGCTCTTTGTTAAAAAACACACACTGTCAACGACAAAACTATTGTTTGGGTTTTTTTTCTTCTTCTTCCAGTGAACCTGAATCATTCTTTTCCATTAGGCTCCCTATTTCTGGTCACTGTGAGACATCCCTGTGAATGTGATTATGTAGCATTGTTTGAGACTAAACTAAACAGCTGGAGTTATAGATGTGTTTGAAGTGATGTCATTGAAAATGCTCATGAAGAGCCTGTGGGCCTCTCTGTGTGCTCTGACTTTTCAGACATCAGTATAAGACTCCTTTTGCCTGAAGGGAGCGTGTCCAGCTCGCATCTAGCGTTTCCTGCCTGCTCCAGTTAGCAGGAGTCATTAGCAATCCCCTATGCTGCCTCTGTCTCCATTGACAGGTCTTTAATAGAGACATTGCTAGGGATTGACAGATCTCCAGGGGTTGGAGGCTTCAGACAAAAGGGCCCCCGAGAACGTGGCTGACCTTTCTTGGCATTACTCCCCTAGCTCTGTCTTCCATGTGTTGCAATCAGGGAGCGTAGAATTGAGTACATCATTTTTAGAGGATTATTACCCAAAAGGCTGCAGGCTTAGTAAGACGCTGTTAATACGTTAACAAGAGGCCATGCACATTCCAAAGTGGGTATGCAGGCAGTTGGTAGAGTACCGGCTCTTCTTTTCCATAGGAATGTGCATCTGTACCTTAAATTCAAGGATAATTACAACCTGCATCACTTGTAACATGGCTGAGCTTTTGGATTATTGGGCCTGACTGGGAGGGAAGAGAGTTCTCTTTCTCTCACTGTCCCCTGGAAGTCATCCCTGGACAGATGTGGACTAGCTGAGGCTTGTCTGTAGGGTCTTTCCCTGAGTGTTTCCCTGATCCCCGTTGCTCTTAGCGGAGCCAGTACCCTGCATATGCAGCATGGGGAGGAATGCTCTGTGTTCCAAATGTAGCTGTCATCGCTCTTTCCTCTCTTCTTCCCCAGAGTAAAACAATCAGATTCTCGGGTCCCCATCTGAAACAGATGTTATTATAAGAAGAAAGCCATCCATTTCGGTTAATTCATCGTAATGTGTGAATGATGCGAGTCCCAGAAGCATGTGCAGCTGATGAGATTCTACCCATTAGGAATTTAGACTGTGTTTCTCATTAGGATGACTTACTTTGGGGGGTAAGGAGCAAAGGTGTTTAGGTCACAGGTAGCCACCAACAAGGAGATCCTTTTTGCTTAGGAAGTAATTAATTTCTTTTCTTTTTTTTCCACTTTAAATTACATATATTTTTCCAAAGGTCTTAGTAAGTTTTCATAGCTGATTCCATGCTGATGTTGGTGGGCAGGGTTTAGAAGTGGAAAGATGATCATACGTAAGCATATGTTGTTAATTAGATGAAGGTTTTAAGAGAGATGTATGTACTCATCTCTAGAGCCTCCACGCCCAACTGATTAGTGAATTGCTGCAGTGCGCTTCCTGCTTACTGTCACCTGGTACACAGCCCTTCTCAGTGACCACGCTTCCTAGAGAGTGGGTCATATAGACACTGTGCATGTGAAACAGGACACTTTAGAAAGAGACTTGTTTCTTAAATGGAAGACTTTGCCAGTAATTTCTATTATATTCATTTTTAGGAAAAGTGGAAATGGGAAAAAAAAGAAGCAATAGGAGAATGAATGATATGGAAGAGAGGACATAGACTATAGCAGTTGAGATCCAAGAGAAAATAAGAATTATACAGAAATTTAAGCAGATCGGTTTTATTCTAAAAACCCCCTCTTTAAGTAAAGATAAAAGGCAAGGTCACACCCAGGTAAGATAGCCAACTAAGCAGACTTGGTGCAACTCTTGGATTTTCATTTGCACTAGGCAGTTTTCTGATTCATGGTTTAGAGAATAAAGCCCATTGATCTCCCAAATGATTAAATATCTGACTAATGATGTTTAACCATTAAGATGAGGAAATTGACATTATTGATAATCTTGGAGAGAAATGTATCTGCTTATTTTTGTTCTTAACACCAACAGATTCTAAGTAGCTTTGGAAACACCACCATGAATTGCTCCCTCTTGATATTTAGTAGTATCTGTTTTCTTTAAAAGCATTTTATGAAATTGTAATCACTTTTATATTTGTCTTTTCTTTCTCCATTTTTTAAATAGTTACAGGTTCATATAACAAAAAGAATATGAATTCAAAGAATCAGTTCTTTTGTTTTAAGGAGAAATATTTCATCATTCTCATAAAAATATTAATTTGTTTTCATTTCTAAAAGTCAGATCACCTAGGAAATTTTGTGCTTCATGGTATATACTTACATCTTAGAATGTGTTTTCGTTATCCTGAATTATCAGTTTGACAGAATTTGCAGTAATACCCCAGAATAGGACAAATCATCTTACTCTGGTTGCATCTTGGGAAGAATAGTTGCTGGATGTCTGTGTTTAAAAAAACCTTAGATTGTGGATAGGAGTCCGAAAAAGACTTCCTCAGTAGGACTTTTAGGGAAAGACCTTTGATGAGGCTGGTATCAAGTAAACCACTACCTTCTCTGTCTTTGTCCCTTTCATAAGCAGACAAGTTATAGGAAGCTCTTTCACACACTGCCCTTTACATGTTTCAATATACCAATAAATAAATAAAATAGTCGACTGATCATCAACAGATGGTGGCACTTACTGGCTTTTTGATGCTACTTCATTAACTCATCTTCGGTTGATCTAGACTGATGTAACTTGATAATTTCACCAGACTTTATAAAAAGAATATGAGATTTGGAGTTAGGAGTCAGGTTCATAGCCCCACTGTCATTTTCTGATCTTGTTAACAATTTCCACACATTTCTATTTACTCACCTGTAAAGTGATGTTAATAAGTGGATTCGGGATTGCTGGAGAATCAAATGTAGAGATGCTTTGAATGTGTAAACTGATGAGGACTATACAAATGTGAGTTTCTGTGATAACCACGTTAATTAAATCCATTTGGTGCTGATTCTGAGATGTTCTTATGGTACCTGAGAAACGTAATAATAATTTTATTTGGGCAGTATTTTTATCTTCATTCATATTGTTCTTTGGCTGATGAAAAACGGTGATGTTGATCGGATGGATCTAGATCAGGTTGAACAAGCAGTGATTCACATTGTCAATACAGAATTTCAGGAGGTTCTAATAGCACTTCATTTTGGATGGGGTCATTTTAGTTAGTCTCTGTAGCAAATAACTAGGAAAAATAAAGCATATACTACCTATGTAAGAATTCCTTCCAGGTTTACCGTCTTCCTACTTGCTTCCCTCTACTCCCTCTCTCCCTCCTTCTTTCCCTTGTTCTTCATTTCTTGGTCTATGGTACTATTATAATTACTTGTTTATCAGTAATGACTTGGGATAAGCAATTTTTAAAAACAAATCAAGTGAACCAAAAGGTACTTAGGCTTGTGCTGTGGTTACTATTCAGGACTTCTTAGCCCTGATCTGTGTAGGGTGAAAGGGCCTTCATCTTTTTCTTCTCTATCTTTTTCAGGAAACCTGGATCTGACTGGTCAGAAACAAGTATTCAAAGCAGAGAACAATCCTTGGGTTACCCCGATTGCTGACCAGTTCCAACTTGGCGTGTCCCACGTTTTTGAATATATCCGTTCAGAGACGTATAAGTAGTAAGTAGACTAGTTGTTTTCCAAAGTAGTACACTGTGGCTTTATAGTATTTGTAATTATGCCATTTTAAAACTATCATGTGACGTTGTTGCCTTGGTGGCAGTTAATTCATAGTATTCTTACATGTTTTATTAATAACCACATGTAGTAATTGTCTTGTAGTGATAGAGTATTTTAATTGATATTATCAAAGGGAATTTATACCAAGTTTGTTTAGAAAATTTAAATTGTTATATTAGTTGAATATTCATGACACTAAGAAAATTGGTCAGACACATTAAGATCAGAACATACTTTTTTTCTCCTTTGAATGCAAAGTATAACAGCTGTTCTGAACAAAATTGTTAAGCAGTTTATTTATAAATGAATAGAGAATACTAGAATACACCATTCTATTCTAGAGCAGCTTTTACTCTGGGGATATGGAATTATTTCTAAGAGAAAATGGAAGGAAGGGCAGAAAAAGAGGAGGAGTCAGCTAGTTTAAGTCACAGCATTAGTATCCCTCAACTCTTCACCTCAGATCAAAGGAGCCCACCCTAAAACCTGGCTGGTTTTACCTTTCTTCCCCAGTGTGTCCTGGTTGGAAGGAACTCTCTTGGCCACATCTGCTTTGTTAATCTTCTGTCATTATTTCCCTTCATCCCACTTCCACTCCATATTGAGATAATAATTTATCTTATGCCTCAGTGGCACCCTAATGCTGAAATCTAGTCACCTCTAGTTTCAAGCAAATGCAAAAGACATAAAAATCCACAGTCAAATTTAATCTGTTTTTGTGTTTGTTACCAACATTAGAGAATTTAACATTCCAAATATTAGAGAAAAATTAGAGAATCAGTGAAGGTCACGTTCAGGTGGGTGTCACTTTCTCTCTCTCTCTCTCTCTCTCTCTCTCTCTCTCTCTCTCTCTCTCTCTCTCTGTGTGTGTGTGTGTGTGTGTGTGTGTGTGTGTTAGAAAAATGCCCCACACTCAGTGTGGACTGTAGGTAGTGCTGACTGACAGGGCAGGCTCCCTGTTTATAAATGGCCAGTGTGGCCTTTTAGCCTCTTCCCCGGACACCATGCTGCTGGTCACACAAGCTAGGGCTTAGCTCGCTCATATTTCCCATATGACAGAATCACAGAGAAGATGAGCTCTGAAGAATGACAACATTAAAACTAAATAGACTAAAATTGCCAAAATGATAACATACCTTCTTATGTGGAAAAGCTTAAGTCATGGTTTAGATTTTTTATGACATTGACAATATATCTTTAGACTTACCATTAGAGTAAAGTGAGAGAAGTATAGGATGTGTGTTATGTTTCACAAGCCACAAGCTATTTGCAATATATAGATTTATAGTTTATTTAAGCATGAATATAGCTCATTCTTAGAAATTGGTTTAATTAGTTATGAAAATGTGTGAAAATGTAATTGCAAAGTAGAAGATTATTGTTCATTTTGTTCCTCTTAAATTGTTAATCATTGCCATCTTTGAGGTAGAGGTTTTATTTTTGTTAGTAAAGGGGAGTCTATTTATAGATTGGTTTGTAAGGAGTCATTTTAAAAAATCATTTTATATATTTTAACTTATAACAAATTACACAATGAGCTCCTGTTAATCCAGAATTGGGGGGAATACTGTTTATTATTCTGGTTAACCATTTTTATTTTTATTTTTATTTTTATTTTTACATACTTGATAATTTACAGAGAATTAAAATATATTGAATATAAAATGGTTCTAATTTCTTCATTTTAAAAGATTAAGTTGTGAATTTATTAATTCTATATTACCTCAGTCATTAATGGACAATTAGTCACTATTAGAGGCTATTATAGACGATTTCTATTTATTGATGATGGTTAGGATTCTGGATGAATGAGAGGCATGTTTCTTTGATTGAGTTAATTATTATGTTATTTGAAAGGGACTGTATGACACTGTATTTTAATCAATAACCAGTTTGATGTATGTATATTCTTATCTTTATTACTGATATCCTATATTTGGGAATTGGAGTAATCTAAGCAATTTGCCTATTAGCAGGCCTTTCTGTATTTGATTTCCTCATCAAGAATTATATTAGCTCTTATACAGTTAAACCTGTATTAAAAAGCTTTAAAAAGCTTAGGAGAGTCGTTGTCCCATTTTTAGGAGGACCAGTTGTACCCTGCTCACTGCTTTTAGAGGAGTCTGTGAGCCTCTGCTGGGAGTAAGCACTTGCGGTGAACTCAAGGGTCGGTCTTTGGAGCCCAAGAGATCATCTCTTCTCTTCTGGGGAAGGAGAATGTTGACCACTTCCTGCATTTCAGCCCTTCTCTTCTTCACCCATTCTATCATAGTTATTTTCACTCCTTTATCAAATATACCCGTGGACTAGTAACTAAGTAAGACACTAATCAGAATCTTAATCTTTTAAAAATATTTGTATAAAAATGCCATCATTATGTTTCCCTGATTTTTAAATTTTAAGGTCATCTTTTATATGAATACTAGAGGCCCAGTGCACGAAATTTGTGCACAGGGGCAAGGGGGGGAGGGTGTCCCTCAGCCCAGCCTGCACCCTCTCCCATCCCGGTGGGATTGGGCCTAAACGGGCAGTCAGACATCCCTCTCACAATCCAGGACTGCTGGGTCCCAATTGCTCGCCTGCCTGCCTTCCTGATTGCCTCTGACTGCTTCTTCCTGCCAGCCTGATCACCCCCTAACCACTCCCATGCCAGCCTCATTGATGTCTAACTGCTCCCCTGCCAGCCTGTTTGTCCCCAACTTCCCTCCTCTGCCAGCCTGTTTGCCCCCAACTTCCCTCCTCTTCCAGCCTTGTCACTCCTAAGTGCCCTCCCCTGTAGGGTTGATCGCTTCCAACTGCCCTCCTTTTCAGGCCTGGTCCCTCTCAACTGCCCTTCCTTTGAGGCCTGGTCCCTCTCAATTGCCCTACCTTACAGATCTGGTGCCTCCCAACTGCCCTCCCCTGCTGGCCATCTTGTGTGGCCATCTTGTATCCATATGGGGGCAGGATCTTTGACCACATGGGGACAGCCATCTTGTGTGTTGGAGTGATGGTCAATCTGCATATTACTCTTTCATTAGATAGGATAGAGGCCTGGTGCATGGGTGGGGGCCAGCTAGTTTGTGCTGAAGGATGTCCCAGATCAGGGTGGGGGTTCCTTTGGGGTGTGAGGCCACCTAGGCGAGAGTCCTGTGGTGGTTTGCAGGTCAGCCACGCTCCCTGGTGATCCAAGTGGAGGCCCTGGTATCTGGAATTTATTTACCTTCTACAATTGAAACTTTGTAGCCTGGAGAGGAGCCAAGCCTCCTGCTCACTCCATGGCCAGCAGCTATTTCTGTTTGGATTTGGTTACCTTCTATAATTGAAACTTTGTAGCCTTGAGTGGAGGCCTAGGCCTGCAAAGGCAGACAGAAAGCTTGGCTTTTTCCATTGCCTGGGAAATCCAAGCCTGCTCTCTGTGGCTGTAGCCATCTTGGTTGGGTTTATTTGCATACTCACTCTGATTGGCTGGTGGGCATGACTTGTGATTGTAGCAGGGTGGCGGTTAATGTGCAGATTACTCTTTTATTAGGTAGGATAGTATGTATATACCTATTAATGCATATTAACTACACTGGTTTTTAAAATTCAAGTTTTTTTTAAAAAATACATAAAAAAGTGTATTGTCATGTAACTGGAACTCAACTGAACTTTTTAATGTTGTTAAGCAGCCACTTCATAATTAGAGGATTTTTGTATCCTTTTCTACTATCTTAAAAAAATTTTATTTAATTATCAGGTACTTGCCTACTTTTAAAATGTTATACCTATAGTGACCTTCAAAAAGGCAATGTATTCATTATACTCATAATTTTTTAAAGCAGATTTTACATTCAATATCCAGGCGTCTTCAAACTACGGCCCGCGGGCCACATGCGGCCCGCAGAGGAGTCTGATCCGGCCCGCCAGGTTTTTTGGGCAGTGAGCGCAGCCGAGGTGTTACAGTAGGAATTAGTAGTTCATATAGTTCGGCCCTCCAGCTCTCTGAGGGACCGTGATCTGGCCCCCACTTTAAAAAGTTTGAGGACCCCTGCTGAGTCATACTCTACTCTAAACCTTGTGGTTTCCAATCTTCACTTCTATGTCTTTTTATAAAACCATAAACACCTCCATCCAATAAAATTTCCTTTTTGTATTATGTAGATCATCAGATTATCATGATAGTATATTTTAAATTTGTCTTGGCACTGAAAATACTAGTGAATCTCCTTTCTTTAAAAAACATTTTTTTTTCTGACCCATTAGTTAAATAAAAGTAGTAAAGAACTTACTAGCAGGTTTCATTTTCATTCATGTCTGTAGTCGACTTTCACAGTGACCTTCATGTTCTAAGTAGATCCTCAGAGGCCGTCTGAGTCTAGAGTAGCAACAGTCAGAGAAGATGGATTATGTGATTTCCAGGCTCTAATGGACTCCAGGAGAAGACGTGGACATTTGAAACAAAACAATGAAGTTAGTGCTGAGGAAAAATTTAAACACTGTGAGGGTATTGAACTTAATGTGGAGATGCACTTGTGCAGTTAAGCTCTAGAAGATGTGGGTGGGAGTGGCTGGGACCATGCTGGGTTATAGTTCCTCAGAAGTTGGCTCTTTGGAGTACATTTTGGGCATTCATCATAATTTCCTCATCATTTCTCAATTGGAGATTACTCTGCTCACTTATTGTACTATCAGCCAAGGGAACATACTGGCTGGAGTCACAGCATTGCCCATTCATTATGGGTTACTCCCTCTGTTAAAGCAAAATAACTTGCTTGGTTGGGTGGTTGAGGGTCAAGCTCTACAAGCACATTACTGTTTTCAGGCTGTTGGGGAGAGATACAGACCTCTTAACTCCTTATTTGATAGTCCTCCTCTCTATATGACCTCTTTTATTCCTGTGAAGCACAATTATGATAGAATAGTCACCGCATGTTAAGTTTTCAGAAGGTAGATTTTTTCCCCCTAGGAGGAGAAGTCAG